CGGCCCCTCGTCGCGCCTGCCCGGCCCCGTCGCGCCTGCCCGGCCCCGTCGCGCCTGCCCGGCCTCGTCGAGCCTGCCCCGGCCCTGCATACTTCCTGGTACTGTCCCTCGTTCCCCGCACCGCTTTGCACCCTCCTGCACTTCCCTGCCCCGCCCTGCACCGCATTGCACCTCACTGGACCGCACTGCACCGCACTGCACCGCACTGGACCGCACTGCACCGCACTGCACCGCACTGGACCGCACTGCCCCGCACTGCATCGCACTGCACCGCACTGGACCGCACTGCACCGCACTGCACCGCACTGCACCGCACTGCACCGCACTGCACCGCACTGCACCGCACTGCATCGCACTGCACCGCACTGCACCGCCCTGCACTGCACTGCGCAGCACTACACCGCACTCCACCGTCCTACACTGCCCCTAATGGCTGCTGAGCTTCGTTTTGATGCTGAGGGTCAGCCTCTGGAGTTCGAGGCGTGGTTGGCTGACCTTCGCCGCCACCTCACTGGTCAGCGGCAGGACGGCCACCCGCTTTCTGCCCACCTAGACGGTATGCTCCCCTGCCCTGACCCCCCTGCTGTGCTGCCCGCTGATCCCACGCCCGCTGAGCGCGAGTCCACTTCCGCCGCTGCCCTTGCCCGCTCTGTCTGGCTTTCCCGTGATGCCCTTGCTCAGCTCGCCATTAGCAATGCCCTCCCCCCCCCTGAGCGCCCTCGCTTTCGAACCATTACTACCGCCCAGGCCTACCTCGATGCTGTCATCAAGCGCTATTCTACCCCTCCTGCTGCCTCAGTGGGTCGCCTGATCCTCCCCCTGCTCTTTCCTGACCTTGCGTCTTTCCCCACTGTCTCTGACCTTGCTGCCCACCTGCGCTCGATAGATGAGACCTGGCGCGCTGCCTGCACTGATGCACAGCTTAGAGTCCATCAGCCTCCCATGACCTCTACCCTCTACCTCCTTGCCACCCGCCTCCCTGACCGCCTTGCCGCCGCCCGCGACCAGTTCCTTAGCATCCACCCCGCTGCGCTCACCCTCACCGACTTTGTTGACACCCTGACTGTTATAGAGACTCGTCACCGCTCCATCTCCCAGGCGAGCGGTACAGTACCGGTCCCTATCTTTCAGGGTTGTGCCCCCGCTCAGTGTACCTTCTTCGACGGCTCTGTCGCTGTGGCTGAGACTGCTGCTGCAGTGCAGTCCCGCTCGGGGAAGGGCCGCCGCCCCAAGGTTGGGAGCGGCGGAGGCGGCGGGGGTGCGGGTGGGGGTGGTGGTGGAGTCGGGTCGTCCGGTGCCGGTGCGGACGTGGGGACCCTGCCCAGTCCAGCTGCCCCGCTGCCTCCACAGTCGCAGCAGCAGCAGCAGCAGCAGCAGTCACCGCAGCCGCAGCCTCCGCAGCAGCCGCAGCAGCCGCCGCAGACGAGGCAGGCGAGTGCTCTCCCGCCTGGGTGGCCTGGAGCTGGTGGTGGTCGTGCGCGTGGTGGTGCGCCGGGTGGTGGTTCTGGAGGCGGGCGCTGTCAGTACCAGATCCAGACCGGTCCTCGCCGCGGCTTCGTTTGCGGTAAGATCGGCCATTCCACTCCTCGCTGTTTCCGTCGTCTGGACGACCTGTTCCGTCAGCGCTTTGGCCCGGCGCCCGACCTCCCGGACTGGCACAGCTTGCTTAGGCGTAGCATTCAGATTTTTGACTTGGACATGGATGCCATTGTAGCCGCCTTGCATGTGATGTATGCTGATGACTCTAGTGTGCTTCCCTCTTATTACCCTATGTTGCCTAGTGTAGATGTGCCTAGCGTAGACTCCCCTGCTGCGTTAGGCGTAGGATCTCCTGCTTTGCTTAGCCTCGGTGCTTCCACCGCTTCACTGCCGCCTCGCGCGACTGCTGCCCTTTCCTTCACCTTGGACTCTGGCGCCTCCCGGTGCTTCTTCCGCGACTCCACGACGCTGACGCCGCTGCCTGTTCCCGCTGCAGTTACTCTTGCTGACCCCTCCGGTGGTCCCGTCGTTGCCCGCAGTCCCACCTCCCTTCCCTGTCCGGCGGTTCCTTCAGGTTCGCTCACAGGTCTGCATATCCCCTCGTTCTCCAGAAACCTAGTTGGTGTCGGCTGCCTCCAGGACCTTGGCGTCACCACTACGTTCCCTGGTAACGAGCGGTATGCTGTCTGTACTGAGGCCGCCACTGGTGCCCCCCTTACCACTTTCCCCCGGGACCCGGTGTCCGGCCTGTTCACACTTGACACCGCGACTTCTCCGGCTGGGTCTTCCCCCCAGGTCGTTGCGTCCACCCAGGTTGCTGCTGCGTGCTCCTGTCGGTCCCTCACTCACCCGACTCTCCTTTGGCACCACCGCCTTGGTCACCCTGCACTCCCGCGTCTGCGTCACATGTCCCAGCACGGTCTCGTCCTTGCTCTCACCCTATGTTGCTCCGATCCCACGCGTCTCGTCCTCCCCTCCTCCCGTCTCCTCCTCTGTCCTCTCTTGTCGTTGCGTCTCCTCCTCTGTCTGACTACTTTCGTGCCGCTCGTCCTCTTGTTCCTCGGGTCCTTGCCTCTCTCGTTACCGACCCGTCTGTTCCCGTGTCGAGTCTGGACGCCCTTGTCGCTGCGGTCACTGACTTCGCCTCTACCCGCCGCCTTGACTACGCTACCGCTCTGGTCTCTGACCCTGCCTGTCCTCCGTCTGTCGGGGGTGCTCCTGCCCTCGGCAGTGACGTCCTGGAGGACCGCCAGTTTGAGCTTGCTTTCCTGTCCGAGGCTGCTCCCCATCTCTGTTCCATGCTACTAGTCCCTGAGGGTGACCCAGACGCTTTCGACATCCTGACCCCTCGTACTTACGCTGAGGCGGTTTCGGGACCCTGGGCCTCTCAGTGGATAGCTGCCATGGAACAGGAGATGGCATCTTGGAGATCCACCGGCACCTTCGTCGACGCAGTTCCCCCACCTGGGGTGAACGTGGTCGATGGCCGTTGGCTCTTCAAGGTGAAGCGCCCTCCTGGAGAGCCGCCTGTGTTCAAGGCGCGCTATGTGGCTAGAGGCTTCAGTCAGCGCGAGGGGGTGGACTTCTTTCAGACTTTCGCTCCTACACCGAAGATGACTACTCTTCGGGTTCTGTTACACGTAGCGGCTCAGCGTGACTACGAGCTTCACTCCCTCGACTTCTCCACTGCCTTCCTTCAGGGCAGCCTTCACGAGCAGGTCTACCTGCGTCGTCCTCAGGGCTTTACTGGCACTTTCCCCCCTGGGACCCAGTGGCTTCTGCGGCGCCCAGTCTACGGCCTGCGCCAGGCGCCTCGTGAGTGGCACGACACGCTGCGTGCTACCCTTGCTGACCTGCAGTTCTTTCCGTCCTCTGCTGACCCCTCGCTCTTCGTTCGTGCTGGCCCGACTCCGTTCTACATCCTTGTCTACGTAGACGACCTGGTCTTTGCCACAGCTGACAGGGACGCACTGGCCTCCGTGAAGGCAGAGCTGCTGAAGAGACACACCTGCACTGACCTTGGAGAGCTGCGCCGTTACCTTGGCTTGCAGATCTCCAGGGACAGAGCCGCGCGCACCATCACCCTGACTCAGTCACACTTGGTGCGCCAGGTCCTTCAGAGGTTCGGCCTTCAGTTCTCCTCCGCACAGCCCACCCCTCTTCCTCTGGACCACAGACTCTCCGCTCCAGTTTCTGAGGAGTCGGCAGATCCCAGTGGTCCTTACGCTGAGCTAGTGGGTTGCCTCATGTACCTGATGACTTGCACTCGCCCTGATCTCGCATACCCTCTCAGCATCCTGGCTCGTTTCGTGGCCACAGGCAGACACCGACCTCAGCACTGGTCTGCTGCTAAGAGGGTTTTGCGTTATCTTGCAAGTACATCGGGCATGGGGTTAGTGCTAGGCGGACGCAGGCCAGTGGTCCTTACTGGACACACAGACGCTTCTTGGGCAGACGACGCCGAGACGCTCAGGTCTTCCCAGGGCTACTGTTTTAGCCTTGGCTCAGGTGCTGTCTCGTGGAGAGCTACCCGCTCCTCGTCTGTTGCCCAGTCCAGCTGTGAGGCTGAGATCTACGCCGGTGCCATGGCGGCACAGGAGCTCCGCTGGCTGACCTTCTTGCTCACTGACTTAGGTGAGCGGCCTAGCTCTGCCCCGGTCTTGTACGCTGACAACAGGGCCATGATCCTCCTGTGTCAGGAGCCTCGACTCGAGGGTAGAGCGAAGCACATCCAGCTGCGGTACTTCCTCCTGCGCGAGCTACAGCAGCGTCGCCAGGCTCGCGTAGTACACTTGGCCTCCGGTGCCAACACAGCTGATATCTTTACGAAGGCGCTTGCGCCTAAAGATCATCAGCGGCACTGTGTACAGCTTGGTCTGGTTCCTGTAGTCCCTCACTTACTCGGGCCTTGACTTTGTACTGTCCTATATATATGTGTACACTCAGACTGGACTTGTGTCCTCTCACAGTGGTTGGACTAGTAGTGCCGCCCTGTACTTGTTCTTGTCTTGTCTGTACTCCTTCTGACTGGTCTTTTAGACCCTTGTCTCAGAGGCTGGACTAGTAGTGCCGCCCTGAGCTGCTTGTCTAGGACATTCCCCTATGCAGTCCAGGGGGTGTGTCAAACATGTATTATTGATCATGTTTGTATAGACTGTATAGGGTAACCTCCTAGAGGGTACAACATTTAGGTATATGTGCATGTACTCTCTAACTCCATCATTATTAAAATTCTAGTTTTGAGACTTCTAACTGGTCTTTTAGACCCTTGTCTCAGAGGCTGGACTAGTAGTGCCGCCCTGAGCTGCTTGTTCAGGACCTGCCCCTATGCAGTCTAGGGGGTGTGTCAAACATGTGTATCTCCTATGTTTGCATAGACTGTATAGGGCCATCTCTTAGAGGGTACAACACTTAGGTATATTCACCTGTACTCACTCTCTACTCAATCACTCAGTTTTCCACTTTGAGAGTAGGTGGGCACTGGGCACGTCAACACAATGCTAGACTATGTCTCTTGTATTTTGCAACTCGCATATACCATAAGTGAACGAATACTGAGAAACTAAACATGCAATCTACAACAATTGCGTAACCATGTGGCAAAACATGCTGACCCATGTATCTAAAGGCCCAGGAAGGCAATAATGCAGGCAATCTTTTGGGGGGTTCATATGTCCATCAGGCCTCAAAACTGTTATCCTCTCCACATCCATGAAAACCCCTCCAATTCCTCTCACCAAATGTTTAGAAATCTCGTTTTGCTCGTGAAAGTCGCCCCAGTGGTAAGGGAAGGAACTAGAGTCGGGAGGCTCCTTGTATGGATCGTTGATTGCCCTTGTGCAATTGGGATGACCTCCTGGTGTGCTCCGATAAATGACGAGCGCATTCGGTGCAGCCTCCCTAACTTCGTGAAGAGTAGCATTGAGTCCAGGGATAAAAACTTCATTCTCTTCATAGTGCGCTCCACGATTCAGTAGAAGCACCGATATGTTCCGCACCTTCTTCAGCGTCCTCATCCAAGGCGTGCTGATGTAGCGAGAAACATCTACAAAGTGTTCGTCTGATGTGTTTAGGATGTCATTCCGGATGTACAGTACTGTAGTGTTCCCATATCGCATTTCTCTGCACTGCCAGCTGATTTCAGGGATCTTCCGATGCTCCGCACAGGACTCCTGACCAAGAATCTCTACTCCGGGGCACTCCTGCTTGAACCTTTCTGCTAACTCCTGCTGCTGCTGTAGCTGCCGCCTCATCTGCTGCTGCTCCGGTGTCTCCTGCTGTTGCTGCGGCTGCTGGTGGTCTTCCTGCAGTTTCACCTCCTGTTGCTGCTGATGGTTCTCTTGCCCCTGCAGCTGCTGCGGCTGCTGCTGCTGCTGCTGCTGCTGCTGCTGCTGCTGCTGCTGCTGCTGGGCCCTCCGCTGCCTCTGCTGCTGGCTTTTCTTGCGCCATTTCGTCCGCATCTCAAAGAAACACTTCTTCTGGCACATACTCATAAGGTTCTTGAAGGCTGCAAACACCTCTAAGTTTAACGAATCTCCCACTATCATGATCTTCCCTCCACTGGGTACCAGCCCAGCTTTCAACCGTTCACAGTCCACCTCTCCCCACCACTCCCTCCCTCCACACTCTTCCAACCCTCCTACTTCCCCCTCCCTCTCTCCTGATCCGTCGCCCCCCTTCTGGTTCGGCAATTCCCATCGATACTTCACGCTCGGCCGAACCTGCCACACTGCTTTGGCTCCCCTCCTCCGAGCCACTCCATCCGCGTCGTCATATGCAATGTTCCGAAGTTTAGCTGCCCCAGAACCGTAATTCTGCCCGGAAATGTTTGTCTGAGCATCTGTGATCCACCAGTTGTCACAGGAAGAGTACCCGATCTTCAGTTCTTCCGCCCAGGGTAGGAATCTCGGAGTAGGGTCAAATACCCACTGCCCTTTCGACGCGAGACAGTCAAATCTGCTCTCGAATTCACGTACAGCAGCGACAGTGGAAAGTCGGCTCCCAGGGATCAACGGCTGGGATCGATTGGCAGCTGTTACCTCATCTTCAATAAACTCCCCCGGGGATTTACCTAAACCGTCTCCCTCTTTTCTCACCCTGACAGCAAGCTCCTCGCCTACTCCTACCCTATTCTTCCCGCCATTGATTCCTAATTCTGATAGAGCCAGTCGTATAGGCGGCAGGGCCGCGCTAGAGTCTAACACGATAAACCTAGAGCAGATCACGACGACGAAGCCCGCGAGGAATAAAGCGAGTGCGCAAAAGCGCACGTTGCCTAACCACGTGGGTTTCCGTTTAAGGGGCGGCGCCATCTCGAAGCTTCCGGCCCGAAGACCACTGGCAGTCGACACAATGTGCCGCCGCCCTCCCTAAAGCATGCGAACGGCACTTCGACAAGTTCGCTATCGGACGCGAAACGTAACAACACTCGCAAGCCCACACCGTCTGCGCTGCGCCGAGCTGTCTGCTAGCTCGTGACAACACTCATAAATTGTCTCATAACCATGGCCAGAATGGCACGACTAATGCAAATCAGAGACAGCATTGACCAGCCAGGGACTACAGGTAGCGTCAGCTGTGAATCATCATCATCCCTCCCTAAGGGCGTGTCACTAAACGTTTCGGCAAAATACCTTAATCGTTCTAAAGTTTTTATTTGACCGCTCTAGACCGTCAATTAACTTTGCGAACCGCAATCGAACGCACTTTTGTGACACACCCCTACCCACCTCAAGAACACCTGATGCTGCTGTACTGTATTCCTGACGAACCTGTGATGTACTTTTTGAACAGATGTGGGGAAGGGTCCGTGATTCGTGGTGGATGTCCCCCAAGTAAAACCTGCACTTTCGCGATCTTCCCAAGGGAGCTGCGAAACCTCGCGATTGGGCAACGAGAGCAAGCGAGATGCATTGTCACCCTACGCGTCAGGCCAATCAGTTACAAAGTCGTGGTACGGGTGTCGGTTCGGGGGAACGACGCGACGCGACGAAGAGGGAAATCAGCCCAGTCCCCCAGACCAGACCACATTGGGGCATGTCACATTGGGTCTGCCTGAGACCGGACCAACCCCCGGACCAGGAAACACAATCGAAACGCGACGAATCGTGACTCGCGGTTCGGTCTACTAACGAGATGTGACAAAGAGTGTTTGCCAAAAAGAGTACTGTACCGAATCCCACCAGGCAAACAGCGAGTGGGCAATGCGACAACAGGGAATGGTGAGCGAGGGATCCCATCATGCCAGCGGTCGCGAATTGCGACTGCCGCCAACGGTAGAGTACGTTGTGAGGTAGTTCGCGAACCAATCAAAATCAGCGTTCGTCTCTGTCACTTGGAGACTCCTCAAAATGGCCGTTAGCAAAACGATTGATAGAAATACTAACTGAACCTTACACCTCGTTCTTGAACATCTCGCTTCTATCAAGGCATCACACCCATGATTTTCAAGCACCAATCTGTGTTTCTTTATCAGCTTGTCCGTGCTCAGACAACTACGACTCCTCCCTAACATTGCCAAATGTTCAATCAGTTCCAAGTGCGCAAAACAGGCAAGGACGTTGGATTGCAACCACAGCGCTTCAGAGCTGCTGAACTGAAACTCACTACTGGCGGAGCTCCTCCCTGACATAGTCGGCATCAGCGGTAACCGCAATGTCAACAGAGGGACGCAGGGAGGCACAGCCGGCCAGGGCATCGTGCACGGGGTCAGTCTTGAACGCCTTGATGATGGCGGCATCAACCGGGGCGTTGTTATCCACTGCCACAAACGCCTGGAGGAGAGGGGAATGGGGAGACAGAGGGGAGAGAAGGTTGATAAGGAGTTGCAGCCAGCCAGGGTGTCGTGCACCGGGTCAGACTTGAATGCCTTGATGATGGAGGCAGCCTTGATTACCAGTTCACCAAACACCCTCCTCACCTGTTGCGTAAGATTGTAGTCAAACCGAGGAGCCCCACTTCCTGCACCCCAGCCTGGCGGTGGGAATTCTGACCTCACCTCATCAGGTTGTAGTCACTGCGGGGAGCCCACTTAACTGGACCCCAGGCGAGCAGTGGGAATTCTGTCGCATCAGGTTGTAGTCAATGCGGGGAACCCACTTCCTGGACCCCAGCCGGGCGGTGGTGGAGCAGTTATCCACCATGAATGCCACGCATGCATGAACCTTGAGGGAGGCCAGAAGCGGCCTCTGTCTTATTCATTACATGCATCAGTGTGCTCACCAGGGCTTATTTTTGACAGGTAATTACCCGGATTTTGACCAAATAACTGGTGAGTTTTCTACCAAAATCGGATAGCGACGTGTTCGATTTTCATGAACCCGGACTCTGACGGGTACATGTTGACCAGAACACGTGAAGTGACGTGTTAGGTTTTGACAAACACGGATGCTAGAACTTCTCACACCACCCCACCGAGCCCCCGCGATTCCCCCTCCCCAGGGCAAATCAGCCCTAGCAAGGAAGTTCCAGAGGTGGAAGTATATGAGCTGAGCGGAGTAGTACTCTGACGTGGTTCCCTTGGTGAAATCCAGGAACTTTTCGAGAGAGCTTGTGGTATCACGGAAAAAATCCTGGGACTGAACGCGAACATTGACGGGTAACGTTTCACATAACCCCGTTTTGTCCGGGTCTCGCGAGAGAGATACCCGGATCTGCCGTGTGGACAAAAACCCTAAGGTAAGCCCTGGTGCTCACCTGTTGCGTGAGGTTGTAGTCGAAGCGGGGGGCCCACTTCCTGGACCCCAGCCGGGCGGTGGTGGAGCAGTTATCCACCATGAAGGCCACGCCGCGCGCATGCATGAACGGGTTGAGGGAATCGACGGCCTCGATCACACTCTCGTTGCAGATCTCGCTGTACGAGTGCCCCTTGAGCCGCAGCACCTGGATCTGCGCCATCATCACCGCCACGTACGCGCCCGCCGTGAACGGGTGGAGGGGACCCAGGGCGCCGGGAGCGCGGGCTGCGCGGACCTTCTCCCCGACCTTCCACATGTGGGTCTGGTCGATCTTGCCCATGGGGAACGCGGGGAAGCCCTCCTTGGGCTGGAGAAAAGAGGGAGACAGGGGAAGAGGGGAAAACAGGGTCTTGTGTGGGTGAATGAGCCACAGCACCTGGATCTGCGCCATCATCACTGCCACGTGCGCGTCCACCGTGAACGGGGGTGCAGCGGGCCTAGAGCCCCCCGAGCGCGGGCTGCATGGACTTTCTCCCCGACCTTCCACTTGTGGACCTGGTCGATCTTGCCTATGGGGAATGTGGGGAAGCCCTCCTTGGGCTGTGGTGAAAAGGGAGGAGGGAAGGGGGGAGGGGAGAGGAGGGGGGGGGAGTGATGGTGTGGAGAATGAAAGCAGCTCGGACTTTCCCCCAGGAAGAAAGGGACCTTACCTCAGCAAAGCCTACAGAAAAAGTCTGCAGCTTGGTAACCAGCTTGCAGACAAGCCGCATTCGGAATGGGAGCAGAGCACAATGGAGAAGACTTTTGAGTCGACTCAAAAGTCGTCTCGAGAAGGGGCATTCGGAATGGTGAGCAGAGCATAATGGAGAAAATCACATTGCCTGCCACGAGTGCAGCACGAGGGAGCAAGACAGCTTCACCAAGACAAACAGGAGGAAACGTACAGAGAAGCGGCGGCCTGCAAGGACAACAGAGCGGATCTCGTTGCCGCAAGCCACGTCCTCATAGCACTCGAGGAGGATGTCCATGGCAGGGTGGTACGAGGCAGCATAGGCCGTCTCGAACTCCTTCTTGCCCTCCTCTGAGAGGGAGTCATACACCGCCAGCATGCCCTGCAAGACAAGGAGAGAGAAGGGCGGAACGCAAAGGAGAGAAGATAAAAGGAGGAGAGAAGAGAGAAAAGGAGAGAATGTCCATGGCGAGGTGGTAGGTAGGACGCCGTGACTTTTGAGTCGACTCAAAAATCACCTGAGGTGGTAGGTAGGACGCCGCATAGGCGGAAAGGGAGTGAGAAAGGGAGGGGAGGGAGGATCGTCAGGCATGAGAAGGCGGAAGGGACGAGGAGAGCTGCCACTGAAGGGTGGTAGGAGACGGCATAGGCTGAGTGACCTCATATTTGTGACCGCATAGGCTGCCTAACTTCCCTCCTTACCCTTCTGGGTGAGCGACTCACGAATAACCTTTCTTATCACCATTATTTGGTGGAAACGGTCTTCATCCATCACAACAGTTCAAACACCTCGGTGGAGATGGTCTTAGAACGGTTCCCTGTGTTCGCTCACTCTGTGCTCATCAACGCCTCCTTAAACTCATGCACTGTCTCGTCACATATACTAGAACAATCACACAACTTGGTTGGTGGAGATGGTCTTGGACAGGTTGCTCGTGATGCACTCGACGGTGTTCTTGAACGCCTCCTCGCTGTGCTCTGCCATCCAATTACTGCTGTACTGTGCTCGCTGCTGTACTGTGCTATCTCCCTAAACCCCCAGGTACCTTGGTGGAGATGGTCTTAGACAGGTTCCGTGTCCTTGAACGCCTCCTTGCTGTGCTCTGCCATCCAATTACTGCTGTACTGTGCTATCTCCCTAAACCCCCAGGTACCTTGGTGGAGATGGTCTTAGACAGGTTCCGTGTTCTTGAACGCCTCCTTGCTGTGCTCTGCCATCCAATTACTGCTGTACTGTGCTATCTCCCTAAACCCCCAAGTACCTTGGTGGAGATGGTCTTGGACAGGTTGCCCGTGATGCACTCGACGGTGTTCTTGAACGCCTCCTCATCGCTCATGCCCCCCGCAGTGTACCGCCGGAACAGAGACTCCACCAGCCCGTGCACGGCTCCCAGGAGAATGCCTGCAAACATGGCAAGGTTAAGAGGGCAGAGAGAGAAACAGAGACAGAAAGATTAAGAGGGCAGTCCCCCCCACTGTGTACCGCTGGAACAGAGACTCCACCAGCCTGTGCACGGCTCCCAGGAGAATGCCTGTGATGGGGCAGATGAGGAGAGGGGGAGAAGGTGCGGTGAGAGGGCGGTTGAGGGAGCAATAGACCCCCCCGTTGAGTACTGCGGAAACAGAGCCTCCACAAACCCAGCGCTGTAAAATAGTTGCTTCAGACCCGTAACCTCGCTCCTCGAATATGCCGCTCCTGTACTCGTCCTCCAGGATGGTCGCACAGGTGAAGGGGGAGGCCAGTGTCCAAAGGCCAGACGCTATAAGCACACCCACTCTCTCCCCAAAGACCCACCTCGCTCTCCAGAGCTGCCGCTCCTGTACTCGTCCTCCAAGGTGGTCGGTGGCACAGGTGAGGGGCGACCGCAGGGCCGCAGAATGGGTGCTACCAACACAGCCCAGCACTCTTCCATTCACACTCCGCTTGCTCCCCACTCGCTCCCCACTCGCTCCCCACTCGCTCCCCACTCGCTCCCCACTCGCTCCCCACTCGCTCCCCACTCGCTCCCCACTCGCTCCCCACTCGCTCCCCACTCGCTTCCCACTCGCTCCCCACTCTTAGACTCACCTCGCTCCCCGAAGATGTCGCTCTTGTACTCGTCCTCGAGGGTTGTGGCGAAGGTGAAGGGCGACCCCAGGGCTACAGACCAGCCCAGCGCCACGTCAGTCGCGCGGCCGTCCACGTCCTGCCACGTGGCGGAGGGAGCAAGCACGCACAGCAAAGGGTGTAATTCATTGCAGTGTCCGATAGAGCACCACTTAGGCGTATTCGTTGCCATGTTCGTTAAGTGTACACACGTTTGGGCACGGACGGCCCCATGCCCTTGGGGCAGATGGGAACCAAGCTGATGTCGTCGCGGAAGGACTTCCCTCTCTTCCTCCCTCCCCCCCTGCCCGGGCCCACTGTCTCACCTGGTGCACGGCGAAGGAAGCGTTGATGCCGGAGCCATTGACCTCCTTGCCCTGGACATAGAGGCGCCGCACGGACGGCCCCATGCCCTTGGGGCACACCGCCACCACGCTGATGTCGTCGCGGAACGACTTCCCCTGCGACTGCAGGTGACCCAGGAGGAACCCGTGGGAGAGGCCCAGGACGGCTCCGGGCTTCATGGCGCCGAGGATCGCCTCGTGGTTGTCCGCCTGGAGGGAGGAGAGCCGGAAGGAGGAAAGGAAACAATGGGGGGGGGGAGGACAGGGGAACAGGGGGGTTGAGGCGGAACCACTTTACCAGCGACTGGGGAACCCGTGACTTCCCCAGCGACTGCAGGTGACCCAGGAGGAACCCGTGCGAGAGACCGAGCACTGCGCCGGGCTTCATGGCGCCCAGGATCGCCTCGTGATTGTCCGCCTGGAGGGAGGGGGGAAGGGGGAGGGGAAGGGGGGATGCGGGGAGGACAAGGAAAGGGGAGAGAAAGAGATGGGGTCAAGGGCGGAACGACTTCCCCAGCGACTGCAGGTGGCCCAGCAGGAACCCGTGCGAGAGACCGAGGCCGGCGCCCGGCTTCATGGCGCCCAGGATCGCCTCGTGGTTGTCGGCCTAGATGTTGGTGGCGTGACTCACAGTGGTAGGCTGCTCGAGACCTTATAGCGAGGTCACCTTATAACGAACGAGAGATCGCTCTGGGAGGTGAAGGTGGACATGGTGACGTCCCCTAGAGTGCCCGCACTCCTCCAAATCGTACGCAAATATCATCTTATAACGAATAATTCTCACGAGAGCGGCGACGGAGATAAAGGGGAATTACCAAGATCGCTCTCCGCAATAATGGTGGTGACGTCACCCAGCGTGTTCCCTTACCCTATTCCTAATCTTGTGCCGAGATCATCTAATAACGGATCATTCTCACCTGAGCAGCGTCGGAGATGAAAATGATCACGAGATCGCTCTCGGAGATCAACCAGAGTGTTCCCCTATCCCTAATCTTATACCGAGACCATACAACAACGAGTTGTTCCTACCTGAGCGGCATCGGAGATGAGGAGGATCACGAGGTCGCTCTCGGAGATCACAGTGGTGACGTCACCCAGGGTGCCCGCCTCCTCCGTGAATCCGCATCGGCGCGCATCCTTCGCGGACGATGAGTTGGGGCGCAGACCAATCTGGACGTGACACGTGGACGAAAAGAGATGGGAGACAGGTCCGAGAAAGGGTAAGAGGAGGGGAGGGCTCCGGAGGGCTCCGACAAGATCAAGGTTTGAGAGGGCCCAGGATCGCGCGGAAACACCGCCAAAATCGATCAATGGATGGTCAATCCGACAAAGCATTTTTGCATGCGAGAAAAATGTCGCGTCGTGAAAGATAGTGCAAGCATCGACTTTCAAACCCCGGAAACAAGATGATGGCAATGTTCGTTAGCGAATGCGGCTAGTGACGCGTATCGAGTGGCTTACCGAAACGGTGATGTCGGAGTTGATCTCAGCGAGCGAGTCGCGGATGTTCTGCGCCTGAGCAGGGCCCTGCGGTGAGAAATACGCGATAAGGAGAAGAACTGCAAGGAGTTTCATAGAGAGCTTTCCGGGGTCCTGTTGGAATCCGGATCTTAACCGCGAAGTAGCCTCGTCACTTCTCAGAAGAAAAGCGTAAGATGGTCCACCAATGGCGATTCTAGCCTCTCGCAACCACAATGACCAGGCTTTAAAGAAAGCTAACAGACTGCACACAGGAAGCGCGTCGGGGGACAGGGTTTAACTACTTGCCACGTCGGAAGATGGTAGGAACCAACCTACCCGGGAAACCTGGCAGGGAAACCCAGCCCCAGCGGATGACGCCGATCTTCTTGATGTCAGCAAAAAAAGGGACAGAAGCTGTCTCTCGAAAAAAGTACACTTCAGATATGACTTGCCTGGGAGCCCCAGCCGATGACGCCGATCAGCTTGGCGGCAGCGACAAGGGACAGACGTTGATAGATTATTACGGGGAATTCAAGCTAACAACTTGCCTGGGAGCCCCAGCCGACGACGCCGATCTTCTTGATGCCCTTGACGACCTCTGTGTGATAATAATCTAGTTAATAATAAAAGAATACTTCAGATATGACTTGCCTGGGAGCCCCAGCCGATGACGCCGATCTTCTTGATGCCCTTGAAGGCCTCGGGGAGCAGCGGGTAGAGGTTGCGCCCGCCGCGGACGATGTACTGGCGGGGGGGAAGGACATGGCGGAAGATAGCACGACGAAGGAAGTACATGAAAATAGGACATTCAAAAGAGCTGACTTTTGGCGGGGACATGGCTGACTCTTCAAAAGAGTCGACTCAAAAGTCTACTGACGTGGGGGGAGGACATGGCGGAGGATGGTATGACGAAGGAAGTATATGGAAGTATGACATTCGAAAGATCGGCGGAAGAATGGACAGTGGTCGATCGAGATCGCTCTAATCGTCGCTATCAGCGTAACACTCGCACAGCCAGCTTGCGGGTGAAATGCGCTACTCTCGACTGACTGAGAGCTCGCACAACGAGGGTTGCGCATACGGAAAAACGATAACGTTCCGAAGCATCCCGATGGGAAAGTCCGCTCAATCAAACTTTCGTCAATACATTCTCACTAGAAGAAGCGAGGGAATAAGCCCGACGAACAAAATATAACGCAAAGAAGCATTTACCTCCTCGCGGCCGGCCAGGTCGATCTTCTCATCGGTGGACATCTCACTCTCGAAGGTAGAAACACACGAGCCAGCACGATTCGGAGAGATAGCAACCGGTGATTCGCGAATACGTTTCTGTAACAGTTACCTCCTCGCGGCCGGCGAGGTTGATCTTCTCCTTGGTGAACACCTTGCTCTCGAACTCCACCTCCGCTCCGCGCTTCGTGGTAGCAGTAGCGACCGCTTGCGACCTCACGCTAACGGCGACCGCTGCGGTCTTCTTGCCGGCGATGCTGAGCTTCTCGACACGTGGCATGGGCGACATGATGACGGCGCTCTTAGCGGACGCGAGGGTTTCGTCCTTTTTTAGCGCCAGGCTGGCGGTCGCCTTGCCGACGGTGCAGCTTCCGCAGGAAAGTGCCATAACGGTATTAGGTTAGCTCGCCTGGAAGCTAGAACGAGCGGATTTTTGCGAATGCGCGGAGAAGCAGACGGCTCGACTGCTCAAAGAGCTCTCTTACCGCGAAATGCGGAGAGGCTAAGCTTAGCTAAGCTTCAACAAAGAGCCTGGAAAGTACCAGGTCTTGAGAGGAGAGAAAGAGCTCTGGAAAGAAGGGCAGAGCAAATATAAGATGGGAGGTATGTGGCGGTGACATGGCGGAATATATACCACCGCCAGAGGCGGAAGAGCAAGGGGAAGCGGGCGGAAAATGCTGGACTGTAAGGGCGGAGAAGCGAACTCGCGCAGGGTGTTGGTTCTGTACGCACCGCACTTGCCGCTGTTTCCAAAGGTGGAGAGCTCGCGGAGGGCGGAGGTTGGGGGTGGCGGAGTTTTGGGCAGCGGGGAGAAGATTTAGCGGTTGCTCACATCGAACAGCCAATCGGCGACTGAAAATACACGAATCCAAATAAGCCAGGTCACCTTGCACTCAAGCAAATTGATGCCACATAGGCACGAAAAAAGGGTTTTACGGTCTGACGTCAGGCCTGGGCATCAGAAAGAAGCTTCTAATTGGTAAATGGTAGTTTCGTCTTGCCAGGCAGACTGCCGTCACTCCCCTTCCAGACTCCACTGGCGGGGGAGTGACCAAATCGACGAACGAATGTGACTGGCGTTCATGCTCTTCTGAAGAGGTTCGGTAAACAGAATTTGCGAATAAACTGTAGCGTTTCCAAGAGTGTACATTCAGGCGATTTCTATATTCTATCGAAACACCTGAAATTGAGTACACTGACCTGGGATCTTTCACAGCTTTCGAGTGTCTTACAATGGAGTACTCTAATCCTTGTGGCAGTGTGGGCAGTATCTAGAGACCATCTTTGACACCATCTTAGATTCTCCACTAGAATGTGCGACGCATCCTCGGATTCACCTGGTATTCTTATGCTTAGCCGCCGCTTAGTTCTTGGCTTAGCCAAGCCTCGCACGCAACTAGGTATCACTGTTTATAGTCCTCGCATGTAGCCAATCATCACTCCGAATTGGACCAGACCGATCTGTAAGCAGGAACTTCGTGCCAGGCCAGGCCAGGCCAGGCCAGCTGAAACGCCGTAGTGATTCAACGGTCAGGATGCATTTTGGAGGGCGACGCGAGGTGAGTGGTGGGCCTGCTTATTCGAAGAAAATAGAAGTTGAATTCGCGTAAATCCATCACCGCTGGTCATGTTAGTACCGTTACTTTACTCCCACGCCGGTCACCCTCTGTCAGCATGTGCTGTCACGCCGCGTACTTGGTCGGCTAATAGTCACCCGCCACGTGTCTTAAAGATGGCCTCCGAAATCTCCGCAAGTGTCGCTGCGTGGAGCGAGAGGGCTCGCGACGTATCGCCAAAAGCGCTGCTGTACTGTCCTGCGACGTCTCGAATCTCCCTGTCTCGGTTTTCGTTTTCAAATCTCCCTGTTTTCTAATCACCGCCTCAAGCCTCCCCGTCTCTAATCTCCCCGTCTCGACTTTCCCCTTCTCGAATCCATCCTGCCGCAAAATCCGCTGCTTACAAAACTCCGCAGGTGTCGCTGCGCGGAGCGAGCTCGCGCGAGGTGTCGCGGAGCGCGCTACTGAACAAGGTGGCGGAAGAGAGGGCCGCGCGCAGCAAGGCGCGCAAAGCTGCCACTTCTGCCGCGCTCATTCAGGTGCGCCGATGGGTGCTTTATCAAAAGGCTCGTTGTTACGCCCCCTCTCGAGTGGTTCACGCAGGAAGCTCCTTGGTAGGCTCAGGTGACTCTGGCTTGACTTTTTTCCAACAAGAGTCGCTAGAGAGACGCCACTTCACAGGCTGAAGTGTCACTTAATGACTAGATCCCATTTTACTTGCTGTTCTCTCTCAGATACTTAGTTGCTGTTCTCTCTCAGATACTTAGTTGCTGTTCTCTCTCAGATACTTAGTTGCTGTTCTCTCTCAGATACTTAGTTGCTGTTCTCTCTCAGATACTTAGTTGCTGTTCTCTCTCAGATACTTAGTTGCTGTTCTCTCTCAGATACTTAGTTGCTGTTCTCTCTCAGATACTTAGTTGCTGTTCTCTCTCAGATACTTAAGGTCCCATCCCATCTTTTCTGAACTGGATTCCGCGTTGCCTCTCTCTCTCCCCTTCTTCCTCTCAACCCACCCACCCATCCACCCACCCACCCACCCACCCACCCTCAAACAATCCCCCTTCCCTTCACCCTGTAACTCCTCTTGCACACGCTAGCGTGTGTGGCGTGGCAGGAAAGCAGCTTGCTGCGCGCGCCAGCTCATCCAATCAGAATGGGACACGTGGCATGCTGCCCGCATGGCAGCTGCAGGGGGGCAGGCCCCTGCGCCGCTCACAGCAGATGAAGTTTCGCAGAAGCTTCTGGCGCCAGTGCTGTTTTTGCTCTGGGATGCGCGGAAGAGGGAGTGGAGGCTTGGAGGGAGGGGAGAGGGGGGGAAAGGGGGCCAAAGAGGGGAGGGGTCTGCATCAGGGGGAGGAGAAATGCAGCGGCTGCAGTCTGTGATGGTGTGGCTGCTGAAAAGCCTTGATTCTGCAGGTAAGGGGTTTTAAGCTCAGCGTTGTTACAGTGTATGAGGGGCAGGGGCAGGGGCAGGGGCAAGGGCAGGGGGAGGGGGAGGGGGAAGGGAAATGCACTGGTTGCAGTGTGTGATAGTGTGGCTGTTGAAAAGCCTTGATTCTGCAGGTAAGAGGGCTTGGATTCGGTTTGATCCTCTCGCCTCGCTCTCCTCCCTTCACTCACAGTCGTCGCTTTCTCCGCTTCCCTCCTCTCTCAACTGCGTTTCTCCCCCTTCCCTCACACACTCCTTCCCTCACACACTCTTTCCCTCACACACTCTTTCCCTCACACACTCTTTCCCTCACACACTCTTTCCCTCACACACTCCTTCCCTCACTCACTCCTTCCCTTCCTTTCCTCTCGCAGAAACTGCAACAAACTTCTGCTCCTTGGCCATCGGCACCCAATCACAGCGTGCCACGTGGCAGCATCAGGCACATCAAATGGTTTCCCTCTGCAGTGCTCTTCTCAGTCTCTCCACTTCTTCCTCCTCCTCCTCTTCCTCTTCCAACCCAGAAGCACCCTCTCTCCTCCTCACTGTCCTCGCCATGCGTGTCCACGTGTCACTCTGTGACACCACCACATGGCGCTTCCTCAGATCGCCAGCTGTCGCCTCTACCACCCCCCCTGGGAACGCCCTGGCCGCAGCAGCAGAGGCTCAGGTGCTTTCTCTGTTGGCAGGTACTGCGTCAGGTGCCACGGGGATCTACCCTGCGCTGCGCATGCACTTACTGACAAACTACGCCGCGCCTCCGGTGGATGGCTGGAGAGAAAGGAAGGGGAAAGGAGGAGTGGGAGGAGGGGTGGGAGCAGGGGGAGGCGGAGGGCAAGCGGCCCAGCAGCTGTTTCTGCTGACTGCTGCTGCGGTGACTGTGGCTCTTAGACCCATCATCGTCTTTTCGGGCAAGAGAGACGGGCAGGAAGTTGCTGGGAAACTGCCGTCAGGTGAGTCATGTGCAAGGCGAGGGCAGGTGATTGATGGTGATGATGATGATGATGATGATGATGATGATAATGATGATGATGATGATGATGATGATGATGATGATGATGATGATGATGATGATGATGATGATGGTGGTGGTGGTGGTGGTGGTGGTGGTGGTGGTGGTGGTGGTGGTGGTGGTGGTGGTGGTGGTGGTGGTGGTGGTGGTGGTGGTGGTGGTGGTGGTGGTGGTGGTGGTGGTGGTGGTGGTGGTGGTGGTGGTGGTGGTGGTGGTGGTGGTGGTGGTGGTGGTGGTGGTGGTGGTGGTGGTGGTGGTGGTGTCGCACACAGCTCTCTCTTCGGGTATCCTGCCACCCAACTAGCCGGGCTCTCCTGGTGGCTGCCTCCGCTTGTATGTTATGAGGCTCTTTGTTATATGAAAGCCCGAGTCGAAATCTCTCGGCCAAAGATTTGCTCGCTACCCCTCAGTTTGGTCTCCCTTCATGGATCTGGTTTAGCTCAGGAAAATGCATTCACTAGCAAGAACCATACAACCTTCCCAATGTTACGAGAGAACAAACAGAGTAGCTGTCATACGACGACCAAGCTCCTTTACGCTACTCCTAGCCGAAGGCACTCCGTCACCCAGGTCCCGCACTCCCTCGAGGTTAGCCTTTTACCAGCACTAATGATTACGCCTCCTCGCTGTCCCCCTGAATCCGGCCCCTCACCTCCCTCACTCTTCTGCATGTCGACCTAACCAGCCGCTCCTGTCCCCACTGAGCTGGACACTGTCTCCCATTCGCCACCTCCAGCTGTCTAGCCCGCTCAATCCCATGAGCTTTTCGACCCATCACTGTACTTCCCCACATTACCCCGCATAACAATCCTCTTTACGTATTTTCCTTACACTTTCTACACCTCTTCCCTTCCGCGCTGTCCCATATATCTCATGACACTTTTCCGTTCATGCGATTTATGCGACAGCTGTCGCACACAGCTCTCTCTTCGGGTATCCTGCCACCCAACTAGCCGGGCTCTCCTGGTGGCTGCCTCCGCTTGTATGTTATGAGGCTCTTTGCTCCACTCTCCTGCCCCCTCGCGGCCCGACCCACGTCCTCGTGATCAGGCCGTGACCTCCCCGCGCGCGCCACATTAGACACGTGGTCCCGAACCAGTTGCCCCTGCATATTCTGCAGCAATAGGACCCCTGACTCCCTTGTCTCACGTACGATCCACTGCTCCTTACTCAAACCTCTGTCTAGCGTGTCCTTCTTCCGCTCTCTCAGGTACACCTCGTCGCCAATCTGTAGTGCCAACGCCTGACCCCCATTGCCCTCCCCTTGCTTGCGCTGCCTGTACCTCCTTGCGTCTCGCAACTGTGCCACCTCCAAATTATCTAAGGCTGCCGGCATGGCGGTGCGGAGATAACTAGCCCTGGCTGCTGCGATCACGGCCCAAGTCCGCGGGTCCTCAATCGACACCGCTTCCTTCATGATACGAGGAGCATCCACGGGTAGCACGGGCTCCTTCCCATAGAGCAGGAAGTACGGGGAGTAATCCTTCAGCGCTTGCTGCTTACTAAAGCGATATCCCGCCGCTAACCAAGGGAGATGAGTGTCCCACTACCGCCTATCCTCTTCTTCGCAGTACTTGCGCAGCCCCTGCTTTAACGTCTGGATCATCCGCTCCGTCAAACCGTCTGCTTGCGGATGATACCGCGACGTCCGCCGATGCATGATACCCACCTCACTTAACATGGTGTCGAACTCGCCCGCAAACTCATTCCCCTGGTCGGTAAGCACTTCCCCACACGCTCCAAATCGCGTCAGCACCTGCTGGACAAAAGCCTCCGACACTCCCGCCGCGCTCTTGCGCGGGAGGGCCGCGACTTCAATCCACTTGCTAGTGTGCTCTATCATCACTAGGATATACTGCCGCCCTCTCCTGGATAGTGGTAGTTCTCCTGCCATATCCAGGGACCAGCGGTACCCGATCTGTCCAATGGGCAGAGACTGCAATTCTGCCTTCGACTGCTCCAGCCGTGCCTTGCCTCGGCTGCATGCCTCGCATACCCCTACCACCCCCTTCACTTCCTTTCGCATCCCATCCCACCAGTACATCGTCTGTAGCAGCTGAGTCGTCCGCTCGGCTCCATAGTGCCCCAGCTTAGTGTGCACCTTCAGGATCAGCCCCTCTCGCTCCTCCGGCCTAGGGACTATTCTCCAGCCATCCCCCGTCACTAACTGCAGTTGTTCATCCTGCCAACGGTAGTGAATCCCCCGGGCCCTCACCCTCTCTGGCGCCTCTCCACCCTCGGGTCCCTTACCTTGAACCCACTGCAGCACCGCAGCATCGTCCCAAATCTCCCGACGGCCTTTCGCCGCCTCGGACCTCCGAGTCCACCCCTCCTTCTCGGCGGACACCGCCATGAAGGAAAGCACAGTCTCCGCTCCCACCTCTGGTTCCCCAGCTATTGCTGGCCCCTGCCTGGAGAGCCCATCCACATGCTGCAGGGTTTTCCCGGGCCGATGCTTCACGTCAAACTCGAATTCCTGCAGCCGCATGGCCCACCTGGCATTCCGCCCTTTCAGAGTCTGATTAGTCATCAGCCACAGGAGAGGTTGATGATCGGTGACTAGGGTAAATTTCCTGCCTTGCAAGTAAGGCCGGAAGAGTTCCACCGCCCAGACTGCGGCTAACCCTTCCCCCGCATAGGAACTGTAGTTGCTTTCGGCTGGGCTGCATGACCGACTGGCATATGCTACTACCCTCTCCGTCCCCCCATCCAGCTGGCACAGTACTGCCCCCATGCCACTGCTGCTCCAGTCAGTGTACAACGTGTAGGGCTCATCCGGGCTGGGCAGTTTCAGGACAGGCGCGGTCTTCACTGCTTCCTTCAAGGTCTTCCACGCCAAATCCTGTTCTGCCTCCCACTTCCAAGTCATGTCCTCTCTCAGGAGCAGATTCAAGGGCCTTGCCGTCTTGCTGAAGTTCGGCACGAACTTGCGGTAGTAGCTCAGAAAGCCCAGCTGAGCGCGGAGGGTGCTCCGATCTGTTGGCGCTTTGAGTCTATCGACCACCTCCACTTTGGCCTGCTGCACCGAGAGGCCTCCTTTCCCCACCTGGAACCCCAGGTACGCCACTGTCCTCACCCCGAAATGACACTTTCCTGGATGGCACTTCAGTCCGGCCGCTTGTATTGCTGCTAGGGCGCCGGCTACATCTGCCACGTGCTGCAACCCGTCTTCGCTGAAGATTACCACGTCGTCTATGTAGCAGAGTGCGCGCGGTACCTCCCTCAGCACTTGGTCCATCACTCGCTGGAACCTCGCTGAAGCGTTCTTCAACCCGAATGGCATATAATTCCATTCGTACAGTCTGTCTGGCCCATGAAACGCCGTCTTAGCCTTATCCTCCTCCTTGATTGGTATCTGATTGAATCCTTGACGGAGGTCCAAGGTTGAGTAGACCTGTCCTGCGGCCAGCTTGTCGAAGATCTCCTCGGCCATGGGCATTGGGTACCGGTCGCTCTTGGTGATCCGGTTAAGACCTCGGTAATTCCCACACATTCGTCGGGCTAACGTTTCACCGGTTAGATCCTTCCTTGCGGCTACCACCGTCGCTGCTGCATATTCTGATGTGGACTCCCTGATCAACCCCGCTTCCAACAGCTCTGCGCATTTTGCAACAGCAATGTCTCTGTCCCCTGGACTCATACGTCTCCTCCGCTGATACACTGGTTCGTTGCTTTGCAGCTCTATCTCCATCTCAGCTATGGTGCACTTGCCTAACTCCTTCAGAGAATAAGCGAAGGCTCCCCTTGCCCCTTCCAGTACACGCCGCAACTCTCCCTTCTGCTCCTCCTCTAGCCCGTCTCCCATCTCCCAGGCCGGTGGACTGTCGACTTGCGGTGGCCCCTTTTCTTCTTCTACTGGCTCGCTCTCCCCATCTTCCTTTATCTCCTCCACGGCTTCTGCTTCTTGCATAGCTTTGGCCAGGAGCGCTATCCCTCGAATATTCAGCTGGTTCTCTCCTCGCTCTACCTCAGCCCAAGCCTCCGCCTTCATGCGTTGCCAGGCCTCTGCCATGTCGAGCGCCTGCGCTGGGTCGCTCTCCAGCATCGTTTGCAGGTCCTTCCACCGCCAGTGCATTAGCAGCTGCATTCTCATCACCTCCTGCCGTTTCTCTGCCCGGTACAGCAACCAGACTAGCGCGTGCTGGTCGATGGCTCCCCCTAGCGCTGCCCTCCTCGCTTCTTCTGAAATCCCCTCCGCCGCCGTCGCGTTTCTCATGTATCCTAGCGCCCTCTCCCTTTCCACCGCCATAGGCTCCTCCCATTGCCCCGTAGCGAGTACTTGCACCATCCCGGGTCCCGGCTCACTGCCTTGCATGCGAAAGGCGTAACTGCCAGGTGTTGCCACCAAAGTCGGCCAGGCTTGCCTCGGCTCTCCCACTTGGTTGCAGGGAAACTGTGTCTTGACCTCTGGGGTCGTTACCGGTGCCGGCCTCCTGCCCGGCTCTAGAATATCTTGGACCTGCCGCGGCACGGGCCGCTGCATCCTACTCAGTTGATCTCTGAGCACTGGCTCCGGGACCAAGTTCTGCCAGTAGCGTCTCACTCTGTGAGTCCGGGACCCCATTTGTGCTGCATCCCAGGCTACCCCGTGTCCCAACTCTGCCGTCACAGCTTGATGAGCCTCTCTCACCAATGCACGCTCATCGTCCGCCACATCCAAATTCTCCACTATGTAGGATAGCGGTCCTTGTTTCCTCTTTATCAGCTTCATCACTCGGATAAGATCCCGGAGGAGGCCGGTGCGCGGGTCCGATAGCCCCCTGCCCTTGCCCGCCCTGGACAGCCCCTGACATTCCCATCCGGCCACTAGCAGGTCAATCTGCCCCCAGCTCTCCACCGTCTCCTGAGTAACAGCGCCGATATCGTTCATCGCCCTTGCCTCCCTCTCAGCCCTCTCGACCACTTCCAAGGGCAGCCTCTCCGGAAATTCCCGACTGAGGAGCCTTGCATGATGAAATGCCATGCAGCGAACCTCTTCCTTCTTCTCCACATGTATCCATCGTGCAATGGTGAGCCCCGTGCGTACGCACGCCGCCAATCCTGGTCCAACTCCCCCGAACAACTCTAGCAGGGCTATGGGTCGGTTGAAGGTTTCGAAGTCGTATGTGGGCTCGGTGAGCCCCTTTGCTTCCCGGTACTCTGCCACTCGTGGCCCCGCCGCTTCCTCCCTCTTTCTCCTCTCGCTTGCTCGCTCCAGATACACTCCTGCGTCCTCGAATCTCTGCTCTGGCACCTTCTCCATTGGGGGCCCTCGATATCCGGGCGGACTCCTTAGGAAGCGTGCCGGCAGAGCCACTGCCAAGCTCTCTTCATGACTCAGCTCGTGGTCCCAGTAGCGAGGCTGGTAAGTAACCTTCTCGGTCCAAGTGTCGACCACTGCTCCTATTTTGTAGAGCAGCTCCATTCCCAACAACAGGTCATAGTCGTCTGAGTCTGAGACCAGGCAATGTACACGAATCCTCGTCTCATCCTCTGCTCCTGGGGCCAGCACCACCTCCTGAGGCCTCAGTGTCCTGGGCAGCCATTTCCCTGCTCCTCCCTCTGCTGTCTGGATTCTGACCCCTTCAGGCGTCACATTCTCCTCTCGGTGCAACCCCAGCCTTTCGGCCAGGCGCCTTCCCACCAGCACTTGTGAAGCCCCTGTATCGATTATCGTAGTCCCGGGGTATTTCCCTTCCACAGCGACTGCTCCCTCCATAGCCTCAACCACGCATGGCTTCGCCGCCATCTGCTCAAATGGATGACGGTGAGGGCCATGCCTGCCCCCTGCAGGGGCCCTGGCTTCAGCTTCTGCTGGTCCCGTCCGCCCTGGGGTAGGACTCACTCGGGCTCTCGGCCCTCGCCTCCCCTGCTGCACTTCACGTCGGCGGTCGACTCCTCCGCTGCGCAGACCAAGCTCCTCTTTGTCCCGGCCCCCCCCCGAGGCCATAAAGAACGGCTCCCCCTTCTCTTCGGCATCTCCCTCCCGAGATCGGGCTAGCATCGCTGAGCTATCCT